CTTGAGGTATGCTTGAGAACCCAGGAGGAAGAATTATATGAAGTATGGTTTTAAAATAAAGTACACACTGTTTTAACTGTTTGCATATCACAATGATAAAATGATCAGGCTTCTACCAGGTTGTAAAATAATTAGATCTACCTTCAAGTGTCAGAAAAGCATAACCAAGGCCACACAGTCAGTACTAAGAAATGAAGATGAAGCAAAAATGAAGATACTGTTTATGAAAACCTAAATACACTTCATACGGTAAATTAGCTACTTGTGGGACAGATTTTAGTAGCAGAAGCTCTCGATAGTCATTTTCTTATTGTTTGACTGGATCAGACTTTCACACAGTTCAGGTTTTTTGCCACTCTTCTTTCCAATCATTCTTAAATCCATCAACATTTGCAGATATTTGTTTTTGCACAGATTTTCAATCAGATTGATGTTTAGACTTTGACTAGGACATTAAACACCTTCATTTTTTTTGCTTTTTCAATCATTGTAGATTGGCTGCAGTGTTTATCATCATCCTTTAAACCTTCATACCTCCACTACTGTACTTGACAGTTCATCTGCAGCTCTGCAAAACTAAGCTGAGCTGAGATATTTTTTGTGTGAATTCACTTCACACAAGCCACATCTATTCAGTGGCTTTGCTGAATAGTAATCTGATTACTTTGTAAATGACCCAGTCTTATCCAGATGGATGGACTACAACTACTGTTTCTCTAATTTTATTGCTGCTGACTTTCTACCTTTTCATCTGTAAAATGTTCACCAGCAAACTGAAAAGATCCTACTTTCAAAAAGGTGGCCACACTTGTTCATTTGCTCAGATCCTTTCATAAGCAGAACCTGGCTTCTAAACTCCTCTTTATGTCAGAGTCAGACTAAAAGAGGATACTTGACTTTTCCATCTTTGAGAAATAACTATAAGGTAAATCTGTAGTGCTCTGGACACCTGATGTTAGATCAAAAATACTTTTTACTACCTGGTTAAAAAAAAGTTCCTGTTTATTGTCGCCTGATACTGAAACCCTCCAAAATGAAAGAGGGTGTAAAGTGATGGCAGAAGAAGATTTTTTTGTTACTGTGGTGGAATCCTTTCATTCCAAATATGACTTATTTGATTACTCACTGTGTAATCAAATAAGTCCCATTTTTGCAGCTGTCATCTGCACATTTCTGCAGATGTGTCCTTCTGTCCTCTGAATCTCAACGCTCCACACTGCTTTGTGTCTCCAGAAGTGCCTTCAAGCACAAAACCAGTATTTTGACTTCTGTTTAATAGTTTTCTTAGCTTTTAAAAACAAAACTGCAAAGTAAAACAAAGGGTTAATGCACAGTTTTTCCTTGCTTGTGTAAAAAATCTTGTACTTAAAACATGGAAGCCTTGAGAGTACTTTAATCATTTTCCTGGATGAGTTAAAAATCTGACTAATTGTTTTCACTAAAACAGTGTTTTATCTCACAATTACACTGTTCCCTACATCATATGTACACATTTCAGTGAAGTTTTATGCTTTTCAGGAGATGTAATGGATTCCACATATTTTTAAAAATATGTAGATTGTGATATTTGTATTAAATACTGATTATTTATTTATGTCAGATAATGACAGTATTGTATTGTTTTATGTATTCATTATACATAATTTGGTTCATTTTCAGACTAAACGGCATTTTCCTTTGGAGCCTAAAAATGATAAAATGGACCAAAATTGATGTATTTAAGCTTCATCACATCTCTTAACCATTCCCTCTTACACAGAAGTGACTATTCCAGACATTCAACTTTGAGCACATATCAGTGTAATCCCCACACGCGTCTCATCCATGCAATGAGGGAAGGGCTGATCAGAAACTGTACCGTCCTGCTGTGCTGTGCGTTCACCCTGAGCTGCAGTAATAGCAGCACAGATCCAGCTGCAGCCAAAAGAGGGCCCAGTTCAAACTGGGGAAAGGGCTGGACAATCACGCATCACCTCCGCTCTGGCTCAGTTAAACATCCATCACAAACATTAAAGACAATCTCAACTGCTTTATTTCCTTTGGCTGTTGATAAAGGAGTTGGAGCCTTATTTTGCCAGTACTATGTTGATGTCAGGCAAAGGAGTTGCTATTATTATCCTGCATCTATTATTTGAACTCGTTCTGAAGTATGAAGTAGTTAGGTGAAGTCTTCTGTAGCCAACAGTTGTGACTTAAACTGCAGTTTAAATGTGCAAAACAGAAACAAGCTGCAAATGTTGTACTTTGTAAATGTAAATGGAGTTTTATGTGAATAGCTGCCATCTAAAGATTTTATGCTGATTGTTCTCATGTTTTTAATATTATTTTCTTAAATAGGGATTGTGTTATTAAATAAAGCCTCACGTAATTCCCCTGTACTCAGAAAGGCCGATGCATGCATTTTTGTGAGACAAGGTTACAAGAGAGGATATTCTCTTGAGCTGAAACTACTGTAATGACAGCATGAGGCAGCAAATAAGCTAAAAGGTGTGTTTTGCGGGGGTTAACTGTGAAATGTTTTGTGGATCTTAGTTCTCACTCTGTAAAAAAGCTTTTCCTTTGAATGTTAACAAACATGAGGGAAAGTACAGTGCCATAAAAACTGCAAGACTTTTTGTTTTTACTGTGAAGCATGGCCAGATTTTTTATTAGTTTAGTGTTTGATTTAAAATGAATGCATAACTATATTGATTGAATCTGCTGAAATGATGACATTGGGTTCAGCATTTTGTTACTAGGTTGCTGAATGTATAATGTGAGCTTCTTTTAATTGCTCCTTTTCGATTGTTTTCATTGTATTATCTTTTTTTTGTGAATATCAAGTGTTTTTGTATATTATGAAAAAAAAAAGTGTATCAAAATAAATGTTTAACTTGTTGGCTCACTTGTTCACTCAAATTTTTCATGCTGCCCCAAAATGTTCACAACAGTAAATTTATTTAAATTTTGTCACTTTGTATCAATAAACCTCAATGTATTTGATGTGGACTTCATGCCAGAGTGTGTAGAGTAGTTTCATGGACAAAATATTTGTTTGTGTTGTAAAATCTACTTTTCTTAAAAAAAGTGACAAAATTTATTTTTTTTAAATCTTTTTTCAAAACAGATAAGTAACACCTTAAAATATATATTTCTTGTAATGCATTCAGAATTGTAAAGATAAACTAAATACATTTAATTTTCTAATTAGATGATTTCTCAAGATGGGTTCGCTGAATTAATTAGGTGTAATTGGAATAAAGGGACAGAAGAAAAACTCATCTCACATTTTTAGTATTTTATTTGTAAAAAAACACTTTTATAAACCATGTATCATTTTCCCTTCACAAATATGCAATACCTTGTATTGGTCCACCACACAAAAGCCTATGAAATATAGTACGTTTCTGGTTGTAACATGACAAATTACGTAAAAGTCCATAAATTAGTTTACCAAAGCTCAATACTTCTTGACATTTGAGCAGTGAATTATTACATATGTACGCAGTTTATGACCATACGCTAAGAGGAGCGTACGCACACTCGACATGGGCATCTAAACTTTGTATTAATCACACTAAATTATTCTTTCTAAAATTACAAAAGAACACAGAGGCAACTTTGTTCAGCATAAAAATATGTGTATGATGTACAAGATACAGTTGCACAAAATCAATAAATGTAACTCACCTGCGCTGATGATAAACACTGAAAAACGGTGTGGAAAAGGCACGGTATTGGTCAGTAGCTGAGGCCTATATCTCCCTCATACAAATATTTAAATTTACACTTATATAAACACATTGTAAGTATACACTGCCTGCTGAAAATAAAAGTCACCACCTGATTATAACTGAACCTGGTGAACAATAAATCTGGTGGTCGTGGAAAAGATGTTACTCTGTTTAAGAATGCATTGACATCAGGAAGAGAGAATATTCACTGAGGTTGAAAAAACTACAATATCTGTCTTGAGAAATATGGTTGGGAAACACCTGTGAATGACCATGACCTTTGATCACTCACGTGTTTGGTGAAATAAATTGAAGATTATAGGAAGAAGTCTGCTACGTTTAATAGTGAAAGTAAAAATGATTCCACATGCATTATATGAAGCGAACTCTGCCAATTGTGGGTAAAAAATTGTTATGTAGCCATAAGAAAACCATTAATTAGTGAGCCTAGCTGGAGAAAAAGGCTACAATTTGTAAAGGAGCATATAGATTGGACTTTGGAGCGATGAAAGGTCATGTCCTCTGATGAGTCCAGATTTACCCTCTTCCAGAGTGACTGGCACATCAAGGTAAGAAAAGAGGCAGATGAAGGGATGCACCCGTCATGCCTAGTGTCTACTGTACAAGCTGTGGTGGCGGCTGCAGTTGCTCAGGTTCATGTTCAGCAAAATTATGAGGTCAGCTGTCTACCTGAATGTACTGAATAATCGTTGTATTCCATCAATAGATACTCAAAGATGACAATGTCGAGCTTCATTGGGGTCAAATTGTGAACGAGTCGTTCGGGGAGCATGAGAGTCCAGAGCTTACATTTATTGAAAATGTAAGTGATGTTCTGAGAAGGCTTTGTACAGTTGTCAGACTCGCCATCATCAATACAAGATCTTGGAGAAAAAGTAATTCGACACTGGATGGAAATAAATCTTGTGGCATTGCAGAAGATTATAAAAACCATGCAACTACAAAATCAAAGTCACAGTTTTCTGTGACCACTTTTTGCTTTGGTGGCAACTTTTTTCTGGCCAAGCAGTGTATGTATATGCATATATATACACAATGTTGTACATTTGTGCAAATTACCTACAGTGTCAAGAAGGAGAAAAACTACACTGATACAGCAATAGTAGTGTCAAAGCAGCCTATTCAGTAGCTATAAAGACAACAACCTAATATATATATATATATATATATATATATATATATATATATATATATATATATATATATATATATATATATATATATATATATATATATATATATATATATATATATTGTCTGCAAAGATTAACTTGATACTGTAAGGATTCTATAGCCAAACAAATTTAATAAATTCAGTATGGTCAGTGTATAAATCATTTGAGTCAACTGCAACAGTCACAAAACACTGTTCATTCACAAAAACAAAACAAAACGTTTTTACAGTCTAGTGCTCCAGATGTGTGCTAATGCACTGTGCAACATGTTGCAGACATAGAAACAGATGGCGTTATGGATTTTCATCTCCTAAATAGACATGTAATGTAACAGGAATGACCAAAGTTTTTAAAAAAATGTTGACGCAGGATCTTTCAAAATCACAGGTAGTATAGCTTTTTTTTTTTTGTTTTTATTTTTTATTTTTTTTTACATGGACCGTCTGCAAACGTAAAGAAACTGGTGACAAACAAGTAGTAATACCAGGTAACCTTTGCGTTTATAGTTTCTTGACGTAATTGCAGGAAGGTCTTCTGGTCGTTATGAAAATCACATCTATGCATATTAGAGTATGAAAGACAATGCACAAGTGGGTTAACGGATGGTGTTGAGCTGATAAAGTGTGGCATGGGACCCACCAAACATTTTTTAGCCTCTTTTGGTTCTGATAAAATTTGTTGGTGCATGGTGGAACTTGATTGCAAAATTGATACATCTGTGTGCAATGGTCGTCAAGAAATTTTAAACAACTCTGCCTATAGCGGCCTCATGGCTGGAGGATATCTTCTTCATGGCCATGCCAGGCTGGTAACACACAAGTTGTTGACATCCTTGAGAAAGAGGCTTCTCGTTACATCTCCTTTTGTAATTTGACGTCACAAGTCCAAAGAAAAGATGGCTCAGCTATAAAGTCTGCTTATATAAAAACAAACATGGATAAAAGTTTAAACATAAAATATACCTTACCTACTGAAAAAGAACAGTATCTCATTTATTAGTCACATAATTTTACAACTGTCAGAATAACAACTGATGAGAATAATTGATAATCTTTGTGTACAAGTATGATTTCCTCTTAGTGCACCCAAGAGTTCCTCATAAAGGTACTCATCAGATTATAATTATTACATGTAATGAACGGACTACAGGCAAGAGAAATGGCTACTTATGTTCAGGGTTCAGGTTAGTATTGCAGCATCGACTGAGAAAGAAAATTTACACCTTTATTTCTAATCAAGTATTTTGTACTTATAGTACCACAAAGCCATTTTAGTATGCCAGTATGGCATTTTTGTTTGTTGGGAAAAAGTGAACATTTGACAAATTAAAAACTCTCTTGGTTCACTGTACAAAATCTTTTATTTTCTGATGTAGTGTATTTTGTTGCTGTTCATTGAGCTGTTTGTGACAAATTGAAGTGTGAAAATATTCTAATTTAACTTAATAATAAGACTGGTGAATCAAAGCTTTGGGAATGTGTTGAATTAGAATATTCTTCTTTTCATTTATGTTCCACCATGACTTACTTCTGTTTTGAACAAGATCCCTGGTCACCTTTCGATTTTTTTTCATATTTCTTCTTTAAAAAGCAGAAAGAGTTCAGTGTTGGAAAGTAAAATGTGGAGGAGTTGCCCCAAAGCAAATGACGTAGTTTTACAGCAACACTGTAAACTCTGGTGTCTGGGGGGAAATCTGAATGTGCTGTGAATGTGTGTGGGATGATGCTGACTTCTTGCACAGCAAGTTCAGAGGTCTCACAGTTCAGGATAAATAGACCCACCAACAACCAGGCTCTGAGGTGTAGTCTGTGCACAGCATGAGTTGTGCAATGGAAAAAACAACTCGTGCAGGACCCGTCTCATGGTTTTCAGACTGCAGACACATTACTGGGCGTGAGGGCATGTGATTCGGTGCTCTGCTGCTCTTTCGGACTGGATTTGTCCAGAACAGATATCTGTGTCACCGTGCTGCTTTCGTTCAACAACGTACGCCGTCGTTTACTGTAGTTCAGGTAACTCTCGGTCTGCCATTTCCAAAATCGCTTCTTCAGTTCAGCCTGCACCTAAAAATCAAATCCAGCTTTGATGAAAAGGTCCAGCATTGAATGTTTCTCATTTTAGCTTATTTTTGTTATGTATCCAATGATTACACCAAAATTTGCTCGAAGTCATTTATATTTTTGACAGCATAAGAAGCCATCCCAATGAACTGCAAATTCTGAAATACGTTGACAAAAGCTTGACTACTCTGTTTTGAAAGATTGCAAGAAACTGGGAAGGGAAACATAAAACATAAAGAGATCATTTAAATATTTATACGCACATTACACATCTGAAATTCTTTATAGTACCAGAATTTAATAAGTGAGGCTAAATAAGGGAAGAAACATCCCAGGAAAATCAACAATTTTATCCAGCAGGTGGTGGTAATGACCTATTCAATGTCAAAATCAAACTTGGTCTGACATCATAAAATATTTTCAACATTTATTTGTAGTTATTGGCTATTTAAGATTCAGTTCACTGACTGGACAGATCAATGCATAATGTGTGCTCACCTCTCCATTTAGGAAACAGTACAGCAAGGCTACCACAAATCCCTTTAAAAGATGAACACGTGATAAAAGTTGTGAAACTTTATATTTCTTTATTTTTAAAAATGTGTTTCTAGTCATACCTGGAAGGATCCCATGCCAACCTCAATGATGATCCGAGCTTCTGCTCCTGTGTTTTCCGGTAGGAAGGCAAACACCATGTAGTGCATCCCAAAAAGTGGAATGAGCAGCAGTGTGGATTTGGCCAGTCGCCTGGAAACACAAACAGCAGAGACATAAGGATTGCATGGGTATACAGCCATGTGTCAGCACAGATGCTCATACAGAAGTATTTATGCTCTCTTACTTAAAGTGACTTGTATTGTTGCCACCGACTCCAGGAGACGTCAGCTTCTGAACCAGAATACGGATCACGTTTAGAAAGATGATGAAATTCACCTACATAGAAGAAAAACGTTATATTGTTTATTTAATGTTTTGGTCCTCAACTCCTCTAGCAGTTATTAACAAGCCCTTGGTGGAGCTGCATGTCTGGTGAGCTTATTATTTAAATAACTTCTCAGTCCAATGTTGTGATGACGTGCTAAAGGCGGAGTGTTGGAAAGAGTAGGAGCTTTTTAAAGAGACAGAGGCCAATTTTAGGTTTTAGGTTCTTTTAGGTTTGATATATACAGCATTTGTACAACTTAAGGTAACATAATTACTTGTGATATAAAATAGCATTAAGTGGCTGAAAACTATGTAATAACCCCCCTTTATGGTTTCATTAGATCATTTCAATCAGGTTAGGATATGAACTTTGATTGGGCCATTTGACTCTATAGAACATAATTACAAACAGGATTTCATGATCAATGCAATGACTGTGAGGTGATCGGGTCTTGTTTTGGAGAAGCAACCCTAATTCATCAACTTTCCATCATTATGCTCGACAGTTACAATGTTTGCTTTTTAAAAACATGGCACTTTGCATATCGACCAAAAATCTATGTTTTGGTCTTATCCGCTGTTCCAGAGCAAGTTTTGTTCACATGGAGCTTTGCACACCTAAGTTGTTTTATCGTTCTTTCTTAACAAATAAAAAAAAAAAAAAAGCTTTCTCGCAGCATGTAAAATATGATACATAGATAAGGTCTGTGGAGTCTAAGATGGAGCTCTTGGGATTTGTTCTTTCACTGAGAAATACTTAGAGTGACCCAGGGGGGAATGTGCTACATTCTCAGAAATGCTGGAGACTGCCTTAAATGTTTTCCACTTATAAAAAGAATTTTCTCACTGTGGAATAATTGGCTTTAAATAGTTTGAAAATGACCTTACAACTCTTCCCAGATTGACTGGGAGCAATGTTTGCTTTTCTACGGATTGTTGATGCCTTTCCACCCTGGCATTGTGCTAACAAAAAACTGATCCACAGGCGATAATCAATTAATCAAATCATTTATTAAAATATACTTGGCTTCAACTCTTCCTTTTTAGTTCGTTTGCAACAAGAAAGGTATTGTTTCTCTGACACAACCTTTCCATTAAGACTTAATCTTTAACAACTAAAGAAAATGTGGAATTTGTTGTGTGTATTGTGATCAATTTAACTATTTGATCTTTTTAGGATCTACTGATACATCAAATCCCACCTACAACTAATACTTTATAAAACAAATAGAAAGATACTCGAACATACTCAGTTATTTTTGTCTATCATATGATCAAGACTTAAAAAATAAGTTGCTTTCTTGTAGCTGTGGATTGCTGCCAATCAGATAAAAACAAAATAAGAATCAAACGTCAGCACAGATCCTAGACTTTTGATCCATGAAGAGCTCCCATTTTATCTGCAGTGTACTCACCAGTAGGGAGGCAGTTATTGGACCCTTAATGATCCACCAGATGAAGGCCACATCTGTGTCATCCCAGCACCTGGGATGCATAAAAGCCAGATTTGCAATAAACTGAACAATAAAAGGCTATGTTGTTTTAAGTCTCATCATGAAATATGCAACATTTTCTCGAGCCAGAATGTTAGAAATTAAACTGTAAATCTTACGCCGAAACACATTTCCATTATGATTTATCAATTTTCTAAAGGGACCATAACATTTTAGATTGAACATCTTTGCAGAAATGCCTGTTTATTGATGAGTCAATCTGGAAAAATAAGTTTTTGGTGAAACGTCAATGCAGAAAATTGTTTGGCATGCTGCAAATGGTAAAGCTAGTTACAATATCAATTATGTTTTAAAATTTAGGTGAAACTAATAACCACTCACTTGGAATAGGATTTAAAATATCTATTTTTAACACTGCTACCAGGTGTTCATATACTATTACTATTAAAGAGTGATCTAAAAGGGCTGAAACAGATATCAATACCTCTAAGTTTTATAAACACTGGAAATCAGAAATAAAGATAATATTTTTGATTTACATCTCTCTAAACTAGATTGTTTTTTGTTTTTGTTTTTTACTTAAAAACCACTGTATGTTCAAGCAGCCTGGGATTTTATAAGCTCCATGTTCACTCGTATCCAAGCACATTGCTCTTTATTCTGGGGTCCTTATAAAGCATCTACATTTATTTAACTGCCATTCTGTCAACAAATACATTTTCCATAAATTCTGGATAGGGAGTTTTATTTCTTCTCAAATTTAAACCATAATTAGAGTTTGCCACATTTTCAATGTCTAATTTCCTCATCCTGTATTAGCAGCTTATCACTTCCACAACTATAAACTGGCTTGACATGCTCGATTACAACTCTAAGCAGGAAGTCTTAAAAATTGGTCTAAATTTGAAATTTAAAAAATTATTTCTTCCAGCTAAAAAAAAAACAATATTCTTTAGCACCCACTTAGTCAAATCTGTTTTTGTCCTTTTTAACATGAAGCATATCGGTGAGAGCATTGTTGTTTTAATAAAATATGTGTATGCTTATTCTTACAAGAAAAAAAACAAATCTGACTTTCACCAGCAGCCACAGCATTTGCTCACCCCTTATTATTGTAGAAGTGTCGACTGAGAATCCAGGTTGCAATGATTATCGTCGGTAGACCTGGCAAAAAAAAAAAAAAAAAAAAAATACAGAAACCAAATCATTACACAAAAGAAACTTGTTACCTCTCTAACAAGAAACTTTGAGAAAGTACCAGAAAAACCCACCCCAACCAATTAGTATATACCACCAGAAGTATTTCTTTTGAAAGACGAAGGTGAGTGCTAGCAGCGTCTGTAGATACATCCCTTCCACCAGTAGCCAGAAGTAGTTGGCCAGGATACTAAACTGGAAAAAGGCCACAGCAGACTTGCAGGCTGTCTGCCGGACAAGGCAAAGACAAACATCAGACAAGGTTGTAAACTTCACTTAACTTGGCAGATTACAGGAAGAAAGATCATAATAACTGTTCATTGAGATTCTGTTCTTGTTGAGAATGGAAATAATGTATTTGTTTCATTTTCTTCACAAACCTGAAACTTGTCATGGTAGTGACAGACGCTTCTCAATTAACATTTTTTATTGAAGTGAAACTGAAACATTTACAAATTTAAAAGCTTTTTTTTTTTTTTTATTTGCAGATAAATAGACAGATAGACAGGGTCACCACTTTTTAATCTGTACAAATGCTTGTGTATATTATCCCACGCATTTCTTTCCTGTTGCTATCTTACTCCATGTTGCAGTTGGGGCCTTGCCTGGTGTGGCACATCTGTGCCTTTATGGTGATCAAGGGCGGCTCATGTACTGCCATGACCTGACCTTCTGTGCTGTACAGCCCTCTACAGCCATTGGCAGGATTTGGTCATATCAGCCACTTCAGTTAACTGTTGTGGTACATCCAATGCATGTTCTTTCCCTCTCATGATGGTTCCTTCAGAACCTTCTTTTCCATTTGTCATTGTCTGAGATGGGTGCATCTTTTCAATGTGTTCTTGGAGTTTGGATGACAGCTCTGATATACTGTAGATGTCCAATTCCTTCTGTGCTTTGGGGTTTATATACACTGATGTGCCCACATACGGGGCACATTGGCTTCTATGGCAGAGATCCAAGGAACAGCTGCTTACCCCAAAGCACATCAGGACCCATCTCACATTTGACAAGACATTCTTTATAATAACCATCATCATAAAGTTTATGATGATGAGAGTTCTGGGAATGTATTCTGTGGAATGACGAGACAAAACTGGAACAGTTTTGGAAGTTGTGCATAATGTCACATTTGTTCCAAAATTAGAACGTTTCCAAATCAGACCATCATACTAACAATCCAATACAATCATCTCTTTTTGGGACAGTTTTGCTTCCTCAAGACCTGAGAAGCTTGCCATAATTGATTATGTTGAACAGTTATTGCAAAATCTTTATGAGAGTTGTTGCTGCTTATATTGTGCAACTGGTTATTAGATTTAGGGAACACTTACTTTATCCCAGACGGCCAGGTTGGTTTGGAAAACTTTGAAAAGCATTTATTGCATTTATTCAAGTCAATTGTATCCAATATTTAAATTTTGTTTGATGTTCTATAACATTTCAGGGTGACAAAAGGCCAGAAGAAATCTGTAAGAAAAAAAAAACACTTTTCACAGCAGTGTAGTTGTCATGGTAATGGCATGATTTCTCTGTGGTTTGCTCCAGTTGTGTTATTGACAGCTTCCCTGTTTTCCTGCTTTATATTTAAAACTACCACTGTGCCAGCATCTAAAAGACTCGGTGTACTTGACGGCAACAACTGCTGCAGCCACTGGCCCATGATGCTGAAGGGTTAGAACTTAATCTCAAGGTGGACATGAAAGATTTTTCAATGAATGAATATGGCAATAAAGTATGTAATAAATAACTTGGTGTAGATCTTGTTTATTAAGAAGTGCCCAGTGGTCGCTGTCTGAATTGAGATTATAAATAAATCCAGCTTGTTAAGTGTGATGGGTACAGAGAAGTGGAACATCCATGTTAAGCTGAAGGTCATGTGGCCACTGATTTCTTATTGACAAATAAATACCACAGTCCTGGCTGAGAAGGCACAGCAGTGGCTGTATTTTCTTAGAAAACTCAGGAGAGTAAACCTGTTACAACAGCTCATAACGTCCTTCCATAACTCCACCTCTCACACCATGTCGTGTGGTATAGCGCTGCAGAAAAATAGAAATCTCTTCAGTGATTTATACATACTGCCAGGAACATCATCGACCAACAGCTACCTACTCTGGACAATTCATCAACTGATGTTGCCTGCAGAGAGCATACAATATTCTGACAGACTCACTCTATCCTGCCCACCACCTGGACAAATTGCTGCCTTCAGGAAAAATAGATTCATAAAAACTGATACATTAACATTTCTCAACAGCTTTTTTCCTACAGCTTTTTATAAAGTTAATTTTGAACTAAATATCCCCTCCTACTGACTAAAATCTATTAATATTATTGGACGAGGTAATTTTTGTTTTATAAATTTGAACTGCAGACAAGCACTACAGTGATAATACAATAATTTCTGCTTTTACAAAATTCTTACTACTGGTGAGTTGGTGATGAAACGGCAGCACTCACAGTTGACATGAAACAGTGGTCCAGATCTGCATCAGAAAAAAGAATCAGGTCTTTGATGAAGACAGCGGTGGCTCTCAGGATGAAGGAGAAGAACAGGTTTATGTGGATGTAGTTTCTGGTGCAGTGGAATTTCCTGCAGAAAGAACAAATATATTTGAATTACCTTGTGTTTCCCCGCTGTATAAGTCTAAATAAAGGTAGCAGCAAAATTTGAAATTGTTACCTAAAAACAGTGAAGACAAAAATAGCTGATATAAGTGAGATGAGTGAGGTAGCATAGCCAGCAGTGTACACCTGTTTAAAGTTGGAGAAATACGTTGTCTGAAAGAGACAAAAAAAAGTTAGGACATTTCATTAAAGTGCTCTCCAATAAGTTGTTCAATCATCAAAGAAAGAACATTTTGAGAAAAATTGATTTTAGTACATCATTTTTTATCTTTAATGTGATTTCAATTTAGAAATAGAAACATGTTTGGGATAATAAAGGGATAAAGAAATTACTATTAACCCAAATCTGGTTGCATGTTGCAAATGTGTCCCTGCTCCAACACAATTGAAACAAATAATTGAATTGCCTGGTAAATTCAGCCATTTGAGCCAGTGGGGAATGTGGATAAGAGAAGTCCTTATGACTGAGCAGAACTTTGTAAAACAGAATGGTCAGATAATAGTGAGTAAATATGTGCATGCTGATAGATAAAGATGCTTCAGCAAGTATCAGTTGAAAGGTCCAAGCTTAAGAAACCAGGTTGTTGCACCTGTTTTTTTCCCTACCTGATCTGTTTGTTATTCAGTGAATTATAGGGTTTATATCACTAAGAAAGTTTTTTTAATTGTCTATCACTATCAAAATCTTGCTTTTAAACAGTACACTGCTGAAATCCATAAGTTGAGCATTCATGTGCTTTCAAAACACAACCTGTTCAGATGAAGATATTCTCAACTCTTATAATGTACTTTTTCTGTATGTCCAAATGTGACAAAATCAGCAGTATGGGATTTACTGTAATTAAAACAATAACATTTTCTCTTTTTTCTGTTCATATTGCTGCCGAAGAATGTTTTATTTTTGACATCTGTCATCTACTCTGTCTAATTATGAGCATAATAAGAGCAGAGGTTTATACCCAGTAATTAAATCTGTAATAGTAGGTTATTATTGTATAAGTGCTGTCACCCAAAAGTTCTCACTATACCACAGCAACACAACAGTTTTGTCTCAAAAGTGAAAACAAATTTCAAAATAAAAATGGGCAATATTTAATCAAACCCCAGACCAACAGAAATTAATAAGAAAGAAAATGTGACCCAGAGAGTAGAGGCCCAGCACAACCAAGAAAACAAAAAGGTTCACAATGAACAGTTCAAAATATATTATAACTCTCCAACATAATAATCTCACTTACCTCTGGCTCTGGCTCTTCAACATCTTTAAACACACAGGTCTCATGGTAGTCCAGAGGTTCGGACCAGCCCTCTTCTGTGCAGTTCCTTGAAACATAAGCTAAAAAAAGATAAAGACAGAAAAGAGTGGAAATGGGCTAGAGGTGAAGCAAAGGAAGCACTTAAAAACCAACTCTGACCTCTGAAATAAAGTAGGGCAGTTGAAGAGTTTGGAAATGGACTAAATGGACTTTCTAGAGCGACTCTAGAAAGGCAAATTGCAGACAAATTGCAAACATTATGCATCAAACTTTTCCAAATCGCTTGCTAAAGTTTCACAAAAGCTGTAACGTTTTCACTGCGTAATCTTAACCACTTACAAAGAATCCAAAACAATGTATGGAAGAATTAAAGTAGGTATGTTTTGGAGGGAAGAACGTTACAATATGATGTTAAGCTCCAAAAAAGTCAATTTTACATGATACTGCTCCTTTCATATATAACCTTACAACCACTACGATTAGTAATGATACTCTGGATGATTGTGTTGCTAGTTTTTCTCTTATAAATATTACCCTTTAATTAATCATTTTAATTAATAAATGTTAATACAACAGTGTAATTGATGCAGAAAGACCCCTGGATAAACCTCCAGTGTTCTACTGATCTGAGAAATATGCTTCTCAGATCAGAAACCCTGATGCAGATGTTAAGAGTTGAACAATGAATGCCATTGGACAGGTGTCTGGATCTACAAGGGGACAGTGTCACACTAAATTTAGGGGAAAACCTCCATACTTGTCCCACAGTTAATGCTCAAGTGAATGCAGTGTGCTATGAAATCCTGCCGCTTGTTTCCTGCTCTGAAAACACATTCAGCCCGTGATCTCATGTGTCCAACTTGAATGATGTAAAAGACAAAATAATCAGAAAGCAGTGTTCATTTCATGCATAAAATTACTATGGAAGACAGGCTTGAAGGCCTTATCTCATCACAGTGCAGATTTCAACGTTTTTTTGACATACGTAAGAATAGGATTTGGACAATGGCTAAACATTTAGTGAACTTGTTTCAAAACAGTGTACAAATATAGTATATGATTGACAAACAGAAGTAGCCAAGCCCTTGTCAAAAGTCACAGCCAGTGGGATGGAAAAGGGAGATCAACTGTTATGACAGCATAATGGCGTTTAAAGCAACTCAGAATATCACAAGAACATTTTTTCAGAGACTGACAGACAGCAATTAGGAGAATACTGCTGTCTGGAGGAACAAAATCAAAAAGATTTGATGTCTCATGCAGTTCTTTAAGTCACTATGGGAGCAAGAAATATATGTGCTTAGAAAAAATAAGAAATGTGTTTTTAAGTCAAAATTTCAAATACTAACTTCTGCAAACCTTCACTGCTTGGCAATTTTTTCATTCACCATATAAGCAGCTCACATGCAGACTGAAATACCAGCTGAAAAAGGCAACACATAGTTGCTCAAATTACTCAAAAAAGGCTTTGTTATTATTATTTTTTTCCTTTTGTACCTGAGATATCAAGAAAAAAGCTTGTCATAAAATACCTAGATGGTGGTTCGGTTAAAAAAAAAATCCAGGCAGGAACATGATCACATGTAAAGTCATTTCAAAAGGGAAGAAATGGGCCTATGTCTGGTTGTGGACCATGTGGTATTCACAAGGGTTAAGGAACAGCCACTCTTAGTTAAAATCAACAAATACTTCAGAGACCTTATAAAAATGCCAATGACTGCCGATAGTAACACTTCACACATCAAATACCCTAAAATACTGATGAGAAAGAGTAAAGTTTCAGTGAATGAATTACGTGCTCATTATTTGCTTCTTTATTTTTTTGTGTAGACTGATACTTCTGGAAAAAAAAGAAGCCTTCAAATATGAGATCAAATAAAAATATATGCACAGAAATTCTTGAATTTTTAACTTCATCTTGAACAGCTCAATTTGATTTAAAAGAGCTGAATTTTGTTCTGTGTTCTTCCACCATGGCCTGGAGATAGAACAGAGGAGCTCAAATCATGAGTTCCTGAGGTTTTATGATGCATAAAGAGGTTTTCAGATACCAAGACTGAATTCACCCTTTCAGCAGAAGTGACAAAGTTTACAGTGAAATTCTAGTTTTCGTGAAGTGAAAATGCCATCCAGCTTCTCTGTACAGCAGAGTGTGGGGGTTTGAGTCCGTGGGTGGATTTACCGATATCCAGCAGCAGAATATTGTAGCATGTAGAGCCTGCAGCTACAGCAAATGGTTGAATGTGATTTAAGGTTTGAAGGTTGCGGCTCTGGGGACAATGCTAAAACTCATATCGCCTGGTTTAACAAGCAGTGTCAGCTCCAAACTCATGCTCCTGGCTCTTGTCTGAACTGTTTGAATTTCCAAATAATTTTTTATTTATTGCTTTTTTGCAAAGTCCCATTGGAAACTCTGGACCGACCTGTGGAGGATGAAATCCAGCAAGGTTCAAGGAATGACTAACAGTGAGTTATGAAATCATTCACAACAGCATTCGTCTCCTGATGCTTCCAAGCAAAGCTTCCAGTTAACTTTCACTCATATTTTTTTTCTTGCACTAAGAATTTTACTACAGGAAACATGCAAGTGTATTATCAGCACCCTCAATCTGTGTAACCTCTCTGCTGTTGCTAGTTTGGCTGAGAACCGTTACATGACATGACAAAAATTCCTTCGTTTGTTCCAGTGCAACCAAAAGGTACAAAACCTTTTGATTGCACATTGTTGATGTGCATAGGTCTTGAGTCATTCAACATTCTTGTGCATCTTTCATCCTAACAGTCTGCCTTTCCCATAATATTTCAATCAAAATTTATTTTATACTCTTTTCTATGTTTTTATGCACACACACAATTACTGTTTTTGGCAGACTTTTATTGTGACAATTTTACATTTGAATATGCTCTAAATCATCCTACTGTTGCTCAGGTTGTAGATTTATGGTCATAAGACCGAACTCCAGACTCGTCTCAAACCATTTCCAATCTCAAAGAGGTTTTCTTTCTGTGTTTAGATGCATCTATTTTTTTTCATCAACTTTGACCAACTCTCCTTGTTTCTTGGACTTTGTGTGTAAACTAAATGTTACACATGGTTTCATTTGACAAGAACATCTTTATCAATGCTTCCTGTGTCTCCTTCTTTGTTTTCAGTATTTTTGTCAACTAAGATTTGTCTTTCTTTGTTGAATCCTCATTTGCTCTGACATTCATTAATTTTTACATCATTTAATCTATTTTTCCTGTTTATTCCTTCCTGCATGTGTGCATTTATTGTTTTTATGTAAAAAAAGAAAAACAAAAAAGACCAGCTGGATCTGACAGGGGTCTGGAAGAGACAGGAGGGGTAATCTAAACAGTCTGGGCACACAGACAGGCAGCAGTGCACACTGAAAACTAAAACCTCTTCATAAACCACCCAACACAAACACAACATAGTCCCAGGGGACCTCCAAAATAACATGGTATTTTTTCTGGACTGTGTTATGATGGATGATCAGAACTGATCATAATATTAGATTTAAAATATTTAAACAGGATTCTTTACTTTGTTTAGAAAAAAAAAAAAAAGAAATTCAGCTTCACAGTGTCAAATCATTGTGGCTTTCAGGCAAATGATGAACTGAAAATAATCAAGGAGAGAAAAAAGCAAGAGGATGAAAAGGTCAGCACAGCTGCTGACAGGAATATTAATTTCTTGTTGACCAGAGCATTTTCTGCCGGACTCAAATTATAAACATAAACAACTGACATATATTTCGGAGTCCATCAGTTGCTTTAGCGCAGGAACACTCAGTATGCAATGTGCAACAGCACAAAAAAATAAATTAACAGGAAAAACACAGAGAGAACCACACACATCTCAGAATTTTAGTTGTGGTTTTCATGTCACTGACAGTGATTTGAAAAAAATGATTTACCTTGGTTGTCGGCAAACAGCTGAGAGATGTTCATACATGAAACCCTGACCTCCTGTCCCACGTTGGCCCGGTGCCAGCAGTAAATATTATCCCAATATGTCGGGCAACCTGGAAAGACAATCAGAATGTAATAAACATATACCAACGTGACTGCACCAATGTGTTCAAGAATAACACATTTAATACTATTATACGCACTAATCAAACGTTAGATAAATAGACAGCTATAGTCTGTTGAATGTGAATCTTAACCTAAGAGTCAATGTTTCTTTTCTCACAATAAACTGGACCTTAAAAGCTGGACGTTTTGATCTGAATCCACAGCTAAGTACTGTTATTAAAAGGCCAAACAATGGAAAAGAAAATTTTATGTGGTCATTTCATCAACTTTTCTTATACAACACACTTAACATTCTATAAGCAACAGACTTTTTGACCTTGAATGCATCCTAATCCTGCAGAACCAGCTAATTAAGCATTTTCCTGGAACAGAAATTAGTTCTTTGATGTTAGTTTTCAAGGGGTTTCCCTCAGTCTGGGAAAGGCGAAGGGTGTTTGATTTTGTGACGTTCTCAGCCCTCCTCTCTGCCCACGCTTCCTTTCCACTGCCGCTCATATCACATGGCCGACAAAGTCTCTCCCTGCGGACCCTGGCGCTCTGGATGATAGTGTGTTTGTGATAAGAGACGGTGGTAATGAGGCGCCGGACTCAATCCGCCATCTCATCGTCTCATACATCAAAGCTCCTCGGCCCTGCGTCAATTAAAACGGCCGCACGGAGAGATGCAGCAGCACTCATTCATAATGAAACACAGCGTTTGGCTGCTGCTGCAGGTTCCCCTGCCAAAGCCGCGAAGAAGAAGACATCTCGCAGGATAAACGAGGCTTTGAACTCATTTTTCATTTATATTTTCCACTCCATCATAGCTACAGATGACATCTTCATTTATTATGTTCTGCAATGACTCAAGATGGAGTACTTTTATACTGTTAAATACTGTAATATTGACAGATATCCCCTATAAACTGGAACTTTATTTAAATGGACATAGTGGCTATGGATATTTTACGGTTTCTAAAGGTGATGGGAAACAGTTCCTTCTTCAGATGCTCACTAAAGCAAAGCAAACAGCATTGTAATGGGATTTAGCAAAGGATAAATGGACTTGTGCATCTCATTATATAGCCATGGTTGTCTTTTGGTCTTGTTTACAGTGAATAAACATTAGCAAAATGCTAGTGAATATCAGTGCCAGAGACAAAATGCTGAAGGGTCAGTGGTGGAAACATGAGAGCTTGAGCCATTTGAGCACAATGAACTCACTTTCTTTTTCAAGAAACCAGTTTGAGACAAACTGAGTTTTGTGACATGCAGCATTTTCCTTTTGGAAATACAAGATCTTTACACTGTGGTCATAAAAAGTCGGACATTTCTCAACTGTTGCCAAGAAATCCACATTTTCAGATTCAATGAGCCAGAAACATTTTCAGATCGATCATGGACAAATTTTAAGGAGTTTTAACTGACAGGCACAATGCCTGACTTGACCCTTCGGATGAAGTGGCCCCTGTTCTTCAAGGCGCACTGTGTACTACAATCAGAAATGGTATTCCCTATACTTTAGTTGTAGTGAGCTACCATTGCCTCCTATCATTTCAGAAAAGGTTTTCAATTTTTCACTGATAAACAAGATATTTTCATCCACACAACTGTTGCTCTTATTGTGTCTGAACTACCCAGTCTAGTCTGTTTGGCACAAACAACCATGTCAGGTTTAAAACCATTTAAAGTTCATCTAGAGTTTTGGTTTAGACAAGTCATCATCAGCATATGCTTAAATACACTAAATGTCTGATTTGATATTTTGCATTCATAAGCAATTGAGGAAGTGGATTTGATAAATTATCCAATAAGTCTCAATAAAACAACAAACCACAAATATATTTTGATATGTAAAATTAGAAAACTAAATACGTTGATAAAATTAAAATTCACTATCACACAAACACACAACAACCCACCTGCAGTATAAGAAAGCAAAATGTATCCTTGTCTATTTAAAGCCCACAGGGCATCTAAAGTGACTTACTGGTTTGTTTTTCTTGCTGAGGGCTGTGAAAGGTCAAACCTGGCTGAACAGTATTAAAGTAATTTCTCTGTCTCACCTGCTTTACTGCGACATTCAAGGATTCACTTGTCTGACATTTCTGTATCCGATTAAAAAAGGGAGGGAAAAAAAAACATCTGCAACAACTTATGAAGAAAGATTTGTCATTCTCGAGGACAGACATGAAGGGGGAAGGAGTATTATATCGATCAAATGTCAGTCTAAATGGAAGGCCTTCATTTCCTCCTCAAGGTTTGGCCAGTTTATCCCTCGACGCTTCATTTCTCAGTCTATTCTGGATTCAATAAAGCACAGGTACACTAACGGCTATAATAGTGTTTCTGATATCAGAGTGGTGAAACCACCCTGGGATGGATAAACCTGTGAACTCTCTTCATAACCCTTGTTATGAGATGCAGATAAAAGAACAGTATCTATAGACATAATCTGAAGATATTAAAGAAAAAACCTGTAGCTTGTCACTTGTTTAATCAAGTTGTTAGATTTTTATGAGGGGAGTATTATATTGAATCAACTTTTTGAGCTTTATCATGTTATGCTTTCATCAAAAACATATCTGGAGAAATGTTTTTATTCTTTCATGCATTTTTGAGACATTTTTTAATCTCCCCTGGCTGCCGTTTGTGGCTCTTCCTCTCACCATGCGCTGCCTGTTTTCACAAACTCCTCCTAGGGCTAGGAGACTCCGCCTCGGCAAATAAAATATTAATCAGTCCAATAACCCTAAGAACGATTGGAAATGGTAAAGGTGCATTGTTTTGGTGACATGCAAAAGAGTATCAGAAAGAGGATAACTTCTTAAAGAAACAGATGGCAATTTCAAAGCATCACATTGCAAAATAAAATTTTGTTTTTTGCTGCATACAGCATTTTTGTAACAACTGAAGGTAACAAATTTACCTTTTTGTGCTATAAAATTACATCATGTGCCTGGAGAATACATTATACAAGCCTTCTAAGGTTTTGTTCTGAAAAAACAGTTTTAAATTTTATCCCTTGAATTTTTTTTGTTTTTCCTGCCTCATAAACCATAACAGTAAACCAAAGCAGTAAAATCTTCCACAGAACACAACATTAAGCAGGTAAAAAAATGTCAACAGTACATTTATTGGCAGATTACTCTTTAAAAGCTAAAGCGAAAGAATTTCAGAATTTTTTCTGAGAAATACAGAACAATGCACAGTCCTGGAGAAAAGAAAGTTTCCATGACTGTCAATATGAACAAAAGCAATTTATTGATTATTCATTACCAGTGTGACTACCTCTGCAAGAGCAGGAGTTGTGTATGTTTGTGAGTTTCTTCAGCATGTAGGTGTCGGTCCAATGCACAGGTGGAAAAAAAACAGAAATGGCCTTGGAGAGCAATTGTTGCTGCCCATCATGGGGGGAACAGTGACAAGGATGGATGGATGGATGGATGGATGGATGGATGGATGGATGGATGGATGGATGGATGGATGGATGGATGGATGGATGGATGGATGGATGGATGGATGGATGGATGGATGGATGGATGGATGGATGGATGGATGGATGGATGGATGCTATACTGAGAAAGATTTTCCACAAAAAGAAAAGCAAGCTGCCGAACGTCCCACTTCAACACAAACACATCAAACCAACTGCCCAGCACAATTGTGGAGGAGTAATGAACTGAATTTTTTTTTTTGCTGCCACAGGGCTTGGGAACCTTGAAATTATTTTTGGTCTTCTGTATAGTCAATTATTTTCGAGTTGTATGTGAGGCCATTTGTCTTACTGCTGAAGCTCAGTCTAAAGTGGATAATCAACAATCAATGATCAACAACAGAATAGCTGAAAAAGAAATAAGTCAAGGTGTTACAATGATACAGTCCAGGTCATGACCTGATTGAAATGCTGTGAAAACAAAATTCACTATAAAGGCACAGAGTAAACAGCAATTACATATGCCATTGATGTTTCATATATGTTGTTTATCCCATGAGTGTTATTGACTGTCATAGAAAGTGCTGGTGATTTGAAAATATTAACAAATCATGTTGGTTTTTATGGTCTTTATGGTCTTGGATGCTTTTTTTTTTTTGGAAAACACACTTTATCAGTAACCAAAGACATATTGGAACAAAATGTTTGATTTCTGAGTTTGTTATATATGTTATATATACCCCAACATAACATGAAGAGGGAGGAAAACTGAAAATACCAACATCCACATTACTGTCACTGTATTTACTTTTATTGCTGCTGTAAACAGCGACACTTTCCACTAGTAATTAATTGTCAATATGGCAGCAGCAACTGACCTGAGAATATGAAGAGGGCAGAGCAGTGGAGCTGTGTAATGATCTGTGAAAAGGCCAGCAGCAGAAAGTGACAGCCACATGGAACCTGCCAGTAACACACAAACATTCATATGGGTGGCTAATGTTCAGGGTGAGTGTAATAATGAGGATGGAGAAATAATAATAATAATAATAATAATAATAATAATAATAATAATAATAATAATAATAATAATAATAATAATAATAATAATAATAATAATAATAATAATAAAGCATTACTTTCTTTCTTTATATCAGAACATGACTGGATATTTCCAAGCTGTTTTCAGAAGGTTGGCACCATGAAATTATCAAATTAAAGTCAAATCGAAGGAGCCATGCCCAACTCCTCAGAAAAACTCCTATGCTTAATGAAATCAGACGAGTGTCGTTCTGGTATCTGTCAAATTAAAACTTGTCCTTTGGATTGTCAAACTGGAGTCATGATTTAGTTTCTCTCCACTAGAGTCCAGTGGAAGTGTCCTTTACACAACTGTTTTTGATGCTTAGCTTTGTACTTGGAGATGTAAGGCTTGGATGCTTCTGATTGGGGATAAAATCCATTCCATGAATATCTACACTGTTCCTGAGCTAATCTGAAGGCCAGAGGAGGGTCTGTTGCTACTGTGTGAAGATTTTTGACAAACATAGAAACCCCCTTGCCCCTGGTGATTTTGCATGATTTACAATTTCATGACTAACTTGAGTATAGTTCTCAATTGTTCCACTTTGTTATAATACCACAACTGACTATGGAACATATAGTAATGAAGAAATTTCAAGGCAAATCATTGTTTCACAACTTTCTGTAGTCTGTTTGCCTAAGTCTGTGATTTTAGATACAAATGGACTTGGAACTAATTATAACACCTTAATTAAGTGTTTGATGGATGGATGGATGGATGGACGGATGGACGGACGGACGGACGGACGGACGGATGGATGGATGGATGGATGGATGAGGGTTCCATTTGGAGTAATGCAAGTACTCAGCCTTCCTACAAACTGGGATGCTTTGCTGCGTTGAAGTTAATCCTAATTTGGGTTTTTTCTGCATGGATGGGTTCATGGATGGGTTCTCTGGCTTCCCCTAACTATCAAAAGATATAATTGTTATGTTTATGGGTCTACAATTTGCTCTTAAGTATGGGTGTGTGTGTGCATGGTTGTTTGTCATGTGTATCTCTGTGTTGCCTTTGTCCAGGGTTTGTCATGTCTCTGGAAAGTCAAAATGTATCAAGAGCCTTCCTGTAAAACTACTTTTTAAAAATATATATTTAAATGTACAAAAGGTGAATATTTTTTATGTCAAATCCTGTAAGAACTGGGGAAAATTGACAGTAAGTTCAATTGTCCAACCAACTGCTGTCAGGTTGAGAATGTTTAAAACCATCTGGATTTATTGATGTCAAGAGGAGATAAAGATAAACCTCAGGAGCTGTGTGGTTTATATCTGAGTCAATAGTTTAGTTAAATTTCTGGTGAAACACTTCTTTCCAAACTCAGATCTCTGCACTTGTAAAGAGATACAACTATTTCTCAGATTACTGCAGTAGCTCATCTGTTCAGACACAAAGACCCTCTGTTTTGCCGCCTCGGAATCTGATTGTCACATCGTCTCTTTGCTTGAACCCAAATGATGCAATTAATTATGAGCAACAGCAGCTGCAGTGTAGACTGGAAACCCCACTGGTGAGCAGATGACGCTCATCAAGCGAGAACAAAGCTTAACTGCTTGGAATGATCATGTCACACAACTGAAAACACTTCAAAACAGAGCTTTTCAGGTGTAATGAACCTGCCTTCAGATAACATCACTGAAGGAAAATGAAGCCCTCCACCCCCTTGTGCACAAGCTGTTAAAGTGTTTTGTTTTGTTTTGAGATGTGGAAAAGAGGATGAAAGAAAAATCGTATTAGATTCAGATAATTCATCTTCTACTCAAGTAGGCAGAAAACCTTAAAAAGGTTAGAGGTGTTTCTCGTTACCTTTGATTGTAGTATGTCAAGCCAGATAAAGAAAGCATACTTTACATTTGGTAAAATAAAATCAATCATTATTTGCAGAAAGGTATCCAGCTAGACTACTTAGTACATCTTTCATTAAATGTCAAACAGACAAAAATCTCTGACAAATGTCCTACTTCACAAACTGAGTGGTGTAGAAAGTTACCCAAAGTTTCAACTAATTCCTTCAATGCATCGTTTCCTTTACAAGTTAAATGAGGCTGAAAGTCAGCTGAATGACTCATCACAGACTTGTATGAATTTGTTTTCTGGTTCTTTGGGGAAAACAGGGATATTTTCATTCCAGATTCGACATACAGTTTCTTCTAGGAGTTGTAGCTGCGAGCTGAGGCCTCCACATATCAGGACACCTTTGAATCACTTTTAGAGAACTCAGAAAAGCATCAGAACCCTACAAACATAGACTGTCTTTATTTTTAATCAAAAAGCCTGAACTGTTCAATAGGGATGCCTACCAGCCAATAGGAGAATCACAGATTGGCTAATTCACATTGTATTGAATGACAGACATGCAGATGCTCACCCAAGTTCTGAGCAGTATCCCATTTCATTCTGCTCTAACATATGAAGCAGACATTGGGAAATTGTTCTCCTAATGGCAGATGGTCAAACTTTGACTTCCCTGTCCAGAATGTCTTTACTGCAGACTGTGAAAACAGAGATGGTATTGATGTATCCCATGCCAACTATTCAAACAAAGCCATAAACCAAACCAGTGTCAATGTGACTGGTTAGTGAAGGTTCTTGGAGAAGTTCCCAGGAGCTTGTCAATAATTAAGTGCACACTCCATTACACAAGTTGGTGCATGAGAGATACCAGGATAGAAGTTTTGTGCATACACAAAACTTCTATGTTTAGATTATGGTGGTTTATTTTAATTCTCCAAGCAGTCTTGAGTGCTTTATGTGGAAGTCTGTAAGTACCAGAGTCAGATATCCATGACAAGTTAGAGTCAACCATGACTTCATGCACCATTTCACTGAACACGAGAATGTGTCAGGGTTTCTTGCTGAGGCTCCTGGTTTTCACTCTCCTCACAAATACAACACCGGCCATTGTTTTAACTGTATAGATTAAAAAACTGAAGTAAAGATTTTAAATGAACACAAAGTGGAAGTCTGCTGGAGAGAAACTTATATATTTAAGAATTGAGTTAGAGGTACACACAGGCTTTCAGTCTATAGTTTCACCTTTTCCATCAACAATAAGCAATAGCCACACAGATCTAAAATCACATTTCCAAGAGTTGAAAGAACCTTTTGATTCAGTTGAACAAGCAAATGACACATCTTATTATAAGGCCAAGGAGAACTAGAGGTTACAAACAATGTTTTAATTTCATATATCAAGAAGATTCATTGTGATTATTTAATTTAAAAGTGTAGCATATATGCATTACAATATAAAATCTAACATTGATTTCATATCTCTGTATGCAATATCAAAATTGCAAGACCTGCTTATACTCTAATTATGCTAATTATGCTATTAGCCAATGGCATAATTATAATCCCTGCGACAGACAGGCATTGTCCAGGGTGTACCCAACCTCTCTCCCGAAACGTTAGCTGGAGATAAGCACCAGCTCCCCGACCGACCCAACTAGGGACAAAGTGTTAGAAAATGGATGGATGGATGATTACAATGGATTCATCCTGACTGACAAAAATGGACTCTGTGCTTTCCCTCATATTACACAGATCATCTCTTTCCCCTCTTTTTGTAATTCTGCCACCATGTCTCTATATTAGTGTTTAAATGTGTCATTCTTGAAATCTTTTGAAGCCAATCATCTCACTTTGAGATATTTGGTTTCCATTCTCTCTGCAAACAATATTTAGTTTGAAGACAAGTAACTCAAACTGTGGTAGCTATGTGGGTGAGCACATTTGTGAAGAAGATTGTTGTTTGGCTTTGAAAGGTGAAGAACTAAAACCATGAGCCACTCCAAGATTAAGGCAGATATGGCACGTGTGTTCCCAACCCATAAATTGTAATTCGGAACACAAGTGAAAAAGAAGTTGCATACAAATGGTGGCTACTCTTTCAGGTTATTTTCAAAAGTGAAACATAGACTGTAATGAAAATAAAAGCTAGTATAATTTTTATTCAATTTTAGAACTGGTATTACTTCTTTACTTCTTATCTACCACCTGACAAAATAAAAAGGGTTCTATTAATTGTTTTGCAAAGACTCTGAGTTTCTGCACAGCAGAATAACAACATACCAACCTGTCTTGGATGAGTAGTTGTTTTCCTCCTGTTCAAGAATATTGTAGCATTCTTCTTGCGCCTTCATATGCTGCAGCACCACAGCACAGTCTGGGTGCATGGCCTCTGTCTGAAGAGCAGAAAAATCCAGTTGCACTTAAAATACACGTCTGAGAGATAATGAATAAACACAGCATATCAGAAAAATTGTTTTGTTTTTATTCCACTGGCCTATTCTTCAAACACAAGACTCAATACAGAGTAAAAAAGTAAAATATTTCCACAATCTAATTTACTTCGGTGGTCTAAAAAAACTCCCTGATTATTTAAAGGTCACAGCCACAAGCAGAGTCTCATTGTGACAGCATAGTCCTGTCATATCTGTCCTGTAAGTTTATGGAACAAATCTACTTTATACAAGCATGATAGTGGCAGAAGACTTTTCCTTCTGAGGCCACACAATGAGTCATTTTACCATTTATCAGTATGAAGAGGACCTGGAACACCCCGCATGTCAAGCAGCAGACTCTGACAGATGTTTTCATGAAATCATCAGATGCAAGTGAAAGAAACCCGATTGTGTATGAGAGACTAAAGAGTGTCCTCTGAGAGTGAACTTCAATTATTGTTACCTTTCATCCTAAATGGCAGTGGATTTTCCAACGTCGTCATTTAAATTCAATCATTGTCATAATGAGGTCATTATCGCAGGGCGCACAATGCCTATGGCCATTCTTAAATGAGTCGCTATCATTTACATTCAGAGTTTCACAGCAACGCAGAGGGTAGATTGCTATCCTGACTGTGGCATGAATAATTTTAGTTGACATTTAAAGATGGAGCAAGTTTCCTGTTTTGTTCAATTTAATTTTGGTTACATGAGTAAAGTGAATTTACACCACCATGTTAAATCGCTTCCAATTTTGGTAAATATTTTTGTTCAGTCTGTGTTTAACGCCATTTTTATATTCCTATCTGAACCCTGCACTTTGGATCGTACTTAGTATAAATGCAGAACAAGTCCCATGGATGCTCATTCTGCACTCCAATAATGTGTTTGGCCTGATGGACAGAATTTCACTGCCCTTGATGCCTAAAATGGATGTAGTGAAGAAGATGTTCAAACTCTCAAAGACCATTTGACTGCATGGTTATTGGAAATGACGCAGTCAGGAAATTGTAAGATAATCACAATCAATATCATAATTGTAATATTCAGTAATAAAATCACAATTAAAAACATTTCTGATATCGTGCAGTCCTTCCTCTGTAAGGAAGCTCAAAGTTTCTGACTCTGGGTAGATATATGTTGATATAAAATGTATATCAACACTTGTTAATATAAAATGGGTGGGATATAAATAGATTTTGAGACATTTGAGTTTTCTCTTACTCTTTAGAAAATCTAAAACATTTTTATATAGAGCGGTTAATTTGATCTACAAGAGAATAGCTCCCAGAGAGAATGCTGTATGTTTTATTTCCTTGTGATTTTATTTAATCTGTCCTCTCTGAGAACTGCTTTCTTTTTTCTATTTTTGCTAATAATAAAACAGCAATTTTCAAACGTTTAGCTTCCAAACCACTAAATACCAAACACAGAAGATTGAAAAACCAAGAAAATAATATCCTATAATTAAAGTCTGGGGAAATAATAATAATAATAAAAAAAGCTTTAACAGCACTTACTCTCAGTAGTTCTTTCTTTATCTGACAATGTCATGAAGGAATTTGCTCCCCAATATGGCACAAGTTCTTTGGGGGTTGCACACATTTGTTTCTGTTTTCTTAAGTGCTTAATAAACCTCTTTATGTTCATGTAAAGAAGCTGATTTATACTATTATTCATACTATTCCTAACTCATATGAAAAGCCATGCTCCCCTCAGTTTCCTTCTATCGTGCATTAATGCTCTGAAGTAGAGGAGAAGAAGAAAATACAGAATTCATCACTTCTTACCAAAACATCAATTCTTTTTCTGCCTGAAAGATAAATTACACACTCTGAAAAAACAGCAGATCTCTCTTCAGTGGGCTTCTTTTGAAAAGCATTTTTGTTGTTTACATCTTGTTAGATTCTGGCCTATCATTTTCATCACCTGCTGTGTGTTTGGCGCCTCCCTCTGACTGAGAGTTTGGCGCCTCCCTCTGACTGAGAGCGTTATCGTCCTTGGCTAAAGAAAACTGGACTTTACAGAGGAGTTCAGCATCCAATCAGCGACCACAAGGTGCCGAAGTGGGGTGGCTGCAGACAAGCCCAAATCATCATTTTTCCACCTCCATGCTCAACACTAGGTATAGGTTCTTTGGCTTAGTATGTTTTCCAAAACATTGTGTTTTGCATTTTTGGTTCTTCAACCTCATATGTCCAAAACAAATATTCCAGAGGTCTAAAAGATTCTGACAATGACACTTTGTTAAACTAAATTTTCAGCCACTTTGGAGAGCAGATACTTTCTTCTTCAACTTTTCCAAAAAACCCTCCTTTTTTTTTTTCTTCCATGTGTTTTGTGTTGTACTTTAACATTTAACATGACTAAGACCGGTGGATCCATAGATGGAGCTCTTGGTTTTGCACAGTCTGACCTTGGGTGTCAACACAGTTGGAGTGTCCTTGGGAAAAGATGTAACGCATCGCATTTCCCTCCAACTCTCTCCGCACTTGTTTTTCCTTTTTTTTCAAATAGAAAAACTAACATTTTTATTCTTTTCTAACTCCAAGTTCTTTCCTGCATCTGTTTCCTAGAAGTAGGCTGCTGGCATTCATTATCTGGCCACAAAAATCTATAGATTTCCTTGTATGTGGGAAAGAAAAACACGTGGTCAGTCGGCAGGGCACTGACAGGATGCAGAGGAAACAAAGAGGACAGCGTGTTTTCTCATTTTGGCCTCCATACTACAACTACCTGTGGCCTTTTCGAATTGATTTTAAGGTTTACTACTTGTTCTGCAAGAAGAGACTTGCCTGAGGCAGCAGGTAATTTGATGTCAGGGCTCAAAAGCTCTAGCAGAATTTCTTGCAGAATATAAGAAGAGGAACCTCATTAAGTCTGTCACAGATTAACACAGTTTCATTTGTTGACTGAGTTACGTTTACATTGGCTGTTTTTATATCTGATTCATTTCTATTCCTTATCACCAATCCAGTTCAATGTTAAACTGTTTAGATACTGTCAAAATGTCAACAGTCCTGATTACTTTTGTAAATCATACTACCTGAAAAATATGCAAATGTCAAAATGAGGCGATTCATTTTTGTGTGTGAATGAAAAAGAAAAAAGACAAAAAATGACATCTGAAATCCTTCAAGATGAGAAAACACTCAAGTGTGGCCGCAGCTGGTGGAGATGAAATGCTGTGAAGTTCAGATTACGTGGAATAAGAGCGGAATAGTCTTCTCCTTGAATTACCTGCATTATTTGAAATTCAAACAAGAATATGTGTACTTTCACACGAGTGGAGGAAAAAATTCATGATTTCCCTTTGTAGCTGTCAGACTGTAGAGTGTCCAACATTAATGGAGTCACAAGAGACTGTCGTTCTTTTCTTTAATCCATTACATTAGATATTCTTAAAGAGCGTGGCTTTTTGAAATGATTGATTCTTTTTGTTTGAGGGAAAAAAAATGCAAATTTTAAAAAACATGTTTTCAACATAACCCAATAAAAAGGTAATGTCAAATACATAACCTTTTTATTGGGCTTTCATATCCCAGAGGAAGTAAGAGCTCTGGAGATATAGTGAGATGCCCATTGAGGGAATTATGACAGTAATTCGCAGCTGACACAACAAACAGCAGGGACAGCAGGTGAGTAAAGTCAGGTCGTAAATTCACATAAATGTCTGAGGAGTTCAGGAAACTTTATGAATTAACTCATCATCAGTTCACATTGATTTTAATGAGTAATTTATTCATGAGTTCTCTAAAAAGTTGGGATAAATATAGATAATTAACTATTTATGTCACAAAGATCAACATTAATAATATAACTTTCTTGTTTTACAAATATATATTCGGATCTAAAATCATGAACAGTCAATTTTCATGCAAAAACTCGGTGCATTATTTTATTTGGTAGTGGATATGAACTTTAATTGAATAGGTACATTCAATTAAATGTGTATATGTATAAATAAATTTTTAAGTTAGGTCAATCGGAAACTGTTGAATTTACTCACCGTTTCCCAGAGCGCCAGCTGCAGGAGCAGAGCCAGGTGAAGGAAGCTGTCCATCCTTGAGCGTCCAGAAAGCAGAAAACTGACCCGGGAAAGGAATTACGCTTCCCAAAGTAGTCTCAAGAAACAAATTTAGAAATAAATATGTACTTAAATAACTCTTCTAGAAGGAACACAAATATGTATTTCCCTGACAAGTGTTGGAGGCAAGCCAGAAGTGAGCAGCTCACTGGGAGGTCCGTGGGAGGTCCGGGTGGCGCTATGTTGTTCGAGGGATGAAGATGAGGATGTCCGCATGACGCGCGGAGGAGAGCCGCCGCTGCACTGAGCTGAGCTCCGCTGCTCTCCTCCTCAAAGGCGGCGACAGAGACGAAGGAGGAGGGGGTGGAGGGTGGGAAGATACTCAGCGGAAAGAGTTACATCTTAGCAGTTGAGTACACTGTGCAAAAGTCCCAAAGTACTCATTATATTTTGCTTTTCATCTTCAGACTGCAGACTTGAAGAAGGTTCTGATATTTTTTTTTATTGGCTACTTTTACACTAATTTCTAGTCAGGCAGGCTTTCCTGAATCATTCCAGGCTAAATAAAAATAAATATATTTTTAAATAAATCTCTAGTCACTAAGTAGCAGCCCAGGTTTTGCTTTTATGTATGATAAATATTATCATACATAATATGGACTGTGTATATTTGTCAGTAATGGTTGATTACACTGCTGTAACGCAAGTTGATTTTTTTCTGTGTTTATATTTGTTGTTTTTCTCTCTGGCGTGTTCTTTGTGCACTACTTATCCTGTTTATTCATAAATAACAGTTTGACAGACAGAGAAAATTTGATTTTAGCTCTAACCAGGTGAGTCCAGAAAGACAACTGGAATATCCCAACCCAACACTTGATGATTTCGCAGATCCTAGCTCATGTCGATTCTGTATTAGTTTCTATTTATTATGCTTTCCAGACATAGCATAAATATTGAAATGATGGGTCCAAAAAATTTATATATTTTTTTTATCAGAAAGAAGTACTGTAAATCAATGGAGGCTACAGGTTTTTTTCTTTAAAGCTCTGCTTTAAGTAATGCTAGCGGATGGAAGTGATGGAAAATAATAATAAAAAATGGTAAACAAAAGAAAGTTATGTCAACACTTTAGAGTTCAGACAAGAAACTCAGACAGGATGAATGGAGGAGTCTGGATTGAAGGCTGGGAAACCATTCCATTCTGAACATAATCAGAAAAGAAATGATCAAATATCCAAAAACATTGAAGGACCTTTCAGTCAAATGTCAGAGAGTGATTCATAGTCAAATAAACCAAATATAACACATTGAACACTTAAGGTCCAAAAACTGCCTAACCAAAGTCAGAAAATGAGTAACTATGGAAAATAGTTTTGTTTGATATCTGGAATGTATACAGAATGCATCAAACTCTGAAATGAAAAACTCACTAGAAATGCCTCTGCAGTAACGATCATTATGTTCATTGTAAATTTTTATGTTTGTTTAAAATTGATTTTAAACAAACCATCCCTACCTCATAATCAAAATATATTGAAAACTAAAGACAAAATGTATCTCTTAGTCTTTTTCGGTCAAAGAAATAGTTTCTTTGATGGAAAAAGAGATGTATTTATGTCAAATATGTTTTTCACTGCTGTAACTCAAGATTATATTTCACAAAAGCAGATGATGCCTGATGTGTCCACGTTGTGCCATTGGGTACATTCCTCTGGAGAATTGTTCCACTACTCAGGACAGTTTAAATAAACAGAATATACTTAAACAATGAACAGCTGCTCACAGAGCAACACTGCGTGTGTGTGTGTGTGTGTGTGCGTGTGTGGGGGTGTGTGTGTGTGCGTGTGTGTATGCATGCATGCGAGTGTGCGTGTGTGTGTGTTTGTGTGTTGGAGGCATGATTGATGATGTGTTGCACTTTTGGCAGATTCACCAGACCACCGGCACAGAACATCCTGCAGACAACACCTGTAGAAAGCAGAAGAGGTTTGGAGGCACTTCATACAGTGACTTTGGGTTTCTTTTGCATTCATGAACACTGCATTGCAGAAACTCAATGATAAAATAAGATTTAAAATCATGCATCCATTTTTGTTTGAAGCTATGTTTATGTTTGTTATCCATGATCAGAGCAATAAAGGTAGCATGTTTACAAAAACCAATCAGAAATAACTTAATGTTTTGTTAAAGACAGCAGATAAGCTTTATTCCAGGAGTGTCGGAGCAGTTTATTCTGAGACCCACGTTAGGTTGGTAGGTTATTTCCATGACAGCAGGTTGTTTGTTCTGTACATAGACATTTAGTGGTTAATCTGCACAGTGAAACATTGACTCAGGTCTTTGTCCATCCTCGTTGGCTTCAGTTTTTAGCTTTTTCATTATTACTTAGCTATGCACAAATTCTGATAGTAAACAATTACTTATCAAGATTCACATCCATGACTTTGTTAAAAGCAATTACATCTCAATGTCGGATTTTTATCTTTCCCTACACAAAATAAATAAACTCAAACAAAATAGAAAATGTTTCTACATTTTTAGAGATTTTAGTTTTTCGTCTGCTGTAAAGAAAGTTAATTGTTTTTACACATCTTTTCTAGGTGTGTGTTTAGTTAGATACTTTATTGTGTGAAAGTGTAAACTTTCTAGTACTGATATGGTGCACATACAGTCATGTTCAACAAGTAAGAAATGTGCATTTCTTTCATTTGATTACAAGGACTTTTTTTAACACTAAAAACTTTAAGCAAGTAGTAAATGTACACCTCATTAAACCCATAGATTTGTATTAAAAATCGTTTTTTCCTTATTTGATCGAATATTTTAATCTTCTAAAAAAATCTAAATGTTTTCTTTCACTGTAAACAGAAAAATTCTAAAAATTAGTACAATAATAAATTACTGATAGAGCTTTGAAAGTATTAGCTTGTTTGTAATTAATAATTATTTTGTATTTAATTTATTTAAAGTTTACTGAAATAAATATCCTTTACTCTAATTTATTGGCAACAAATTAATTCCTTTTAATACCAACAATTTTATGTATGATACAATGTGTTTTGTGTAATTTTATTATTGGCATTATTTGCAAAATCTCTGAACATAAATATATTTTAAAAAATATGCTATGAGTTCTTGCATCAGCTAAATGTAGCTCTTTCTGATGATGTTATGTCTGCAGATTTGGAGAATTTTGTGAATCTCTTAACTTTTAGCCTACAGTTCACTTCCTTTCTGTTTATCCAGATTTGCTCTTTTTGGGTTGGCCCATCAGAGCCTTGAACAACAACATTCCAGCTTACTCTGTGTGTTTTCTTTTTGTCATTTTTGGACACCTGCTGTTTGCAGCTGCACATCCATGCACAGCTCCAAGAGATTGTCTGAATCTACAGAGGAAATGTCTGAGGCCAATTTGTCACGTATCATTTACTTGTTGTGACTTTGTCACTAAAAAGACTGGCTGTGATGTTAAAAGTTAAAAATACAATATACAAAGTCCAAAATGTGGACCCTGACATTTTAGCCATTTTGTAAATTTGTAATTAGTATTTGTAATTATTATTTTCTATTTTAGCTACCGGAATTTGGATACTTTCTTATTTCTGTATATGTACCAATTTGTGCCATTAGTGAAGGTGATAAATTGAGACATAACATCTTGCTTTTAGGGACCTTCAAGGTTACTTCATTTTTTCAAACAGGTTAATTTTCAGCAATTAGTTGATTGTACAAAGCTGGAAGTAATGAATTGTAGAATTTAATTAAAGGTTGCAGTTAATCTATGATTAATTAATTCAGGATTTAATAATGTGAAATGTTACTTTTTCATTCTGGGTCTGGCTGGCTTAGAGAGCCTTAATACATAAAATGATCATTTGGAAAGTGAATGCTATGTTTACTCAAGTAGTCACAAATCTTACAATTTGTTGGATCTGAAATACTGAAGCATGACAGAATTCTGCAAAAACAGAAACATTATTTTCTTTATTTTTCAGTGAGTAGTTTGTTTGCTTGGATTCCATGTCGTCATACTGTACTGTACATCTGCCTAATTACCTGGAAGTCAAACTAAACAAGTAGTTCACAACCTCATTGTTTATTTCAGTGGAAGAATAATTTAGTGGGTTGTAATTTTTCTGCAAAAAGAATTCATTAAACTTTTTCACTTTTTACCACATTTTTTACCACCAACTCTGGAATGAAGCGAAAAATTACTTCTGAAAAATTACTTCTAAAATTATAATTAAAAAAGCAGTAAAAGATAGACATTTCCAGTCACCACAGTTAGAAACACTAATGTATGACAAATGAGAGCGGAGATGCAACAGCAGTGAATTGTGGGTCTTTAGAAATTAACAGCTGAACACAACACTTAATGCACTTTTCAGATGTTCATCCAAAAAAGAAAATGTTGAAAAGTCTGTTCTATTTTACTTGAACTCACATTTATGAACTATTTTGTGTTAGTCTATAAAATAAAATCCCAATACCCATATACTGAAGTTTGTGGTTGTAACATAACAAAATGGAAAAAGGTTCACTGGGCCATGAATGCTGTAGCGTGGAACTGTTTGTGTAGGAATATTTCAGCTGTTTCTAATGATAAACATAATGAAGAAAAAAACAATAATGCTTTTTAGTTGATCATCTCAGCACATAGATCTGCAACTGTACAAGCACCACATGGCAAAGTACACTTTTTTCAAAACTGGTTATCTGAAGTAAATATATAGTCTGGAACTCCAAAGACTGGACCAGTTGAAGTAATTTTTGAGCTATTTTGAAACTTTATGAACAAAAAATGAAACAATTTGCAGCAGAGCAATGACATTTGGATCCACAATACCAATCACAGAGATAAATTGAGGTAAGTCCACTGCAGAAATCATAGTTTGAGCCTGTTGATGACAGATATGTCATTTAGTCAAATACAGTTCTTCAATTTTTCTCTGCAGAGACAAAGACTTGTCTGGAACCACCTTTGAACAAATCATGAGCTCAGGAAAGCTGGAGTAAATTGCAACATTCATCATAATACATTCACCAGAGCTCCTGGTGAAAGCAGATGGAGTTCAAAACCTTCTCAGGATGTGCCTTTTTTTCCTTTTGTGTGACTGAATATGCATCATTTCAGCTTCAGAAAATGCACCTGACATGCCCTCATATGCAAATCGTAAACCGTTGTATATCTGAGTTGGAGGCTGCTTTGTTGAAGCTCCTGGAATCACCCTCTCTGTAGATCTCAGCACCTTCACTGGGCCTTGGCATGGGATCCCAAAGC